TCCCTCCCTGCCCTTGTCCCAAGTCCCTCCCCAGCTTTCCTGGAGCCCCTTCAGGCCCTGGAAGGTGCTCTAAGGTCTCCCTGGAGCCTTCTCTTCTCCAGGCTGAACACCCCAACTCTCCCAGCCTGGCTCCAGAGCAGAGCTGCTCCAGCCCTTGGATCATCTCTGTGGCCTCCTCTGGACTCTCTCCAACAGCTCCATGTCCCTCTTATCTTGAGGGTAACAGAGAAACAGACTCCCTCCCACAACAGAAGGCCAGGAGCACAGGGCCCCACAAAGGCCCATGTGTGGAGCCAGCCTAGATCTGCCATCCCTGGCACTAACCAGTTCATCCCACCCAGCCACTACAGCTCTCCTACCTGCTTTCAGTCCCAGGATAACACAGCCCAGAGCCAGGAACGCACAGGCCCCAGGCAAACCCTGCATTGCACAGGCACTGATAAGCCCACCTGGTGCTGGGGGAAAATCAGATGTAGGTTAAACCTCAATTTTTCTACCTCTCCAGTTGCCATCTTGCACCATCTGTGCACTTTTGTGACACGGGTGGACACCAGTGCATGTAGAAGAAGCAGAAGAAGCAAATGAAACAGGAACACAACACCTACTGAGATAGATGTGAAAGATCAAGAGGTGGCCAAGCAGGATCACAGTCATGAGGCTCAGAAGAATGAAGATCCCAGCTGTCACCAAAATGGCAGGTGCCTGAGTCTCAACAGGAGCTGCAGGAAGGAACACGAACCAGGAGTCTGTGTGGTTCTTCAGAGCTGGAACACAAACAGAGCTGGAGGTGAGGAGGTGGTCCAGGTATTCAATCCTTCTAACTAACAGCCGAAAATGTTAATTCAAAAGTAGCTGCAAATGCATCATCATAGAATCACAGACTGGTTCAGGCTGGAAGGGACCTTAAAGACCATCAGGTTCCAACCCCTTTGCATGGGCAGGGACACCTCCCACCAGCCCAGGTTGCTCCAAGCCCCATCCAACCTGCCCTTCAACACTGCCAGGGATGGGGCAGCCACAGCTTCCCTGGGCAACCTGGGCCAGGCTCTCACCACCCTCACACCAAACAATTTCCTCCTCATGTCTCACCTCAACCTCCCTCTTCCAGTTTTAATCCCTTCCCCCTTGTCCTCTCCCTCCCTGCCCTTGTCCCAAGCCCCTCCTCAGCTTTCCTGGAGCCCCTTCAGGCACTGGAAGGTGCTCTAAGGTCTCCCTGGAGCCTTCTCTTCTCCAGGCTGAACACCCCAACTCTCCCAGCCTGGCTCCAGAGCAGAGCTGCTCCAGATCATGCACTGGAGGCCTTGGAAATCCTGTCTCTGCAAGACCTTTAGGAAGGTCTCAGGAAGGAAAGACGTTCCACCCAGCTGAAACTGGACAACACTCTTGCAGAAACATCAAACCGAAGGAGTAAGGAATGGAGCTTCTCCTCAGTGGGAGAAGCCCAAAGGATGTGCTCCTGCCTGGAGCCAGGCTGGCTGGGTGAGAGGGGCCCAAGGGGAGCAGGGCAGTACCGTGGAAGTGAGGGTGGGAGCGCAGCGCCGCGGGGTCGATGAAGAACTGCACCAGGACGTAGCAAGCGACCAGCAGCAGAGGGGCCAGGCCCAGGATGGCAGAGAGGACACTGTTCAGAAAGAGCCTGCCAGGAAGGGGAGACATCTGAGGGGCTTCAAGCACAGCACACACACAGAGTTCAGAATCACCATGGTTATATGGCCGGCTACGCCTGTTGTGGTGACGTGATCATAGAAACATCACAGAATCCCAGACTGGTTTGGGTTGAAAGGGACATTAAAGATCATCCAGTCCCAACCCCCTGCATGGGCAGGGACACCTCCCACCTGCCCAGGCTGCTCCAAGCCCCATCCAACCTGCCCTTCAACACTGCCAGGGATGGGGCAGCCACAGCTTCCCTGGGCAGCCTGGGCCAGGCTCTCACCACCCTCACACCAAACAATTTCCTCCTCACGTCCCACCTCAATCTCCCTCTTCCAGTTTTAATCCATCCCCCTTCTCCTCTCCCTAGAAGTCCTTGTCAAAACTCCCTCCCCAGTTTTCTTGGAGGCCCTACCTTGTAGGCCCTGGCTAACAGTCTGTCTTCTGATTCATCATCCCAAGGGACTAAACTGTGACCCTTTGGACCACCCATGGTTACAAAACAGCCAGCTCTTCTAGAACAGCCAGAAACCTGCAGGCAGTGCAACGTGGCACCCAGTAGCACCAGCTCCTTGCTTCCCACCTGGTTTTAGGGCAGGGAAGTAAACAGAGAAACAATAACCAGCCTCTTTATTCCTCATCTCAAACCTGGCCCAGGGTCCCTCCGTGCTGCTGGAGCTCCTGCAGGTTGTTTCAGAGACTGGAACAGCACAGTCATGGTTCTATGCCCACTCCAGCTCTCCAAAGCATTAAGGACACCCAAATAACATCCCATAAGCTTTTCCTAATACCAAATAATAAGATTATGTTCAGCTACAAAACTCCAAGTGCAGGAGCTTTACCCCTGGTTATCTGAATGTCACCACCACGGTTGCATTTTCCAACTGGTATTCTAGTGACTGATTTTATTCAGCTGGGTCCTGAAGGAAAAGTGTGGGTGAGCACAACCTGGAGTGAGGTGCAGGAGGATCTTAGGAAGAGAAGAGGGGACATTACTGTGGTCCTGTCACAAGGCCAGGCTCTTACCAGTAATTCCTCTCCCCCACACAGTTGTTGAGCCATTTGCAGTGGTGATCAAAGCCACACACACACTTGTTGCAAGTCCCACAGTGCTTTGACTTGGCACTCCTGCCAAAGAAAGGGTGGCATTAGCACATCCAGTGACACAAACGCAGCAGTAGAGACCCTGGTACTAGAGAGAGAACCTTCTCCACCAGGAATACCCCAACAGTCAAATGTATCAACCCTATTGGCCATTAACCCAGAGTCACACAGAATTACCTTGGTTGGAAAAGACCTTCAAGATCATCGAGTCCAACCACAGTTCCCAACACTGCAAAACGTTCATTTCAATGCACAGTTTCTGAGTTGGAGATGGTTGGTTTCTTCTTTGAGATTGCTTCAGCACTTCTACAGAGCTTGGTCTGAACGTCTGCCCTCCAGCATTCCCTGCTGCTGTCCTGGCCCCCAGCCAGGCAGAGCACACACACAGGAGTGACAAACACCAAGAATAACCAGGTGACAGGAACAGCACAGTCCTCTCCACAACACATGAGTAATTAAAGCACAGAATCACAGAGTGGTGGGGTTGGAAGGGATGTCTGGAGATCATCTAGTCCAACCCCCTGCCAGAG